GGCAGCACCGACCCCGGGGCTCCTGCGCCTTCCCTGGGAAATCGGGGAGTTCTCGTGTCCCCCCAGGTGAGATGGATGCAGAGAGAAACTTCAGTTCCTGGGTCACCACCCCCCAGAAGGGCTGCCCAACCCAACTGAATGATTTTGTAGCTTCCTTATCAAGCTGGGCTGGTTTTCCACACAAAACCTGCCAGGGGACAGTGTCACCTCCCTGCCACACCTCAGAGCCCTCCCACCCAAAAAGCACCTGCCAGTCACAGGTCTATGCTGCTCAAACAGCAGAAAAAAGCTTCAATAAAATGCCAAAATCACAGAATCCCAGAGTGGTTTGGGTTGGAAGGGCCTCAAAGCTCCTCTCGTTCCACACCCTGTCCTGGGCAGGAACAACTTCCACCAGACCAGGTTGCTCCAACCCAGGGAGCAACAACAACATTCACACAACAAATCCAAAATGCTGCCCCTGTTCTGAGCCACAGGGTCATTAAGTTGCAGACAGGGGAGCGTGGCTACGTCTCTAAAGGAGCCAGAGCTTTTGGGGGAGCAGCCACATCCCTTTGGAGGACCCCGAGCCGTCAGGCAGCAGCAGGGACAGGCAGCAGGGACAATATTTGGGTGTGCTGAGGTCACCAGGGCGTGAGGCAGAGGCTTCTCTGGGTGCAGAATGATGCAGGGACTCAATCTTGGGATCTCTCTTGCTTTTTGCCTTTAAGTCCCAGCTGACAGACAGGATGCCCTACAAAGCCACGGGGGCTCGACAAACAAAAATGCATCTGATGGTTTTTAAGCCAGTTCTAGAAATTGTTGGGATATCAAAGGTTCAGAGGTGGTTTCTAAGCAGGTGCAGGGTGCTGGCCAAGAGCTGGCACACAAGAGGCAGCAGAGATCCCTTTCCCTCCTGGGGTTTGGGGCATGAACACACGCCCAGAGCTCGGTGAGCTCGGGGCTGCTCGGCCTCACCGTCTTGGTGGAGGTTGCCATGTTCTCCATCTCCTCGTGGGTGACCCAGACGTTTCCAGAGGACTGCAGGGAAAACAGCAGAGGGGTCAGAGGGAACCACCACAGAGCTGTGTCCTCAGGGTTCACAAACATCATCAAATCGTGGAATTACAGAATTATTAATGTTGGGAGAGACCTTTAATATCATTGAGTCCCAACCATCAGCCCAGCACCACCACCACGTTCACGTGTCTTCAGGTGACACATCTGCTTCATTTTGAATGCTTCCAGGGGTGGGGACTCCAAACCTCCCTGGGCAGCACCTGCCCATGCCTGAGCATCCTTTCTAGGAAGCAATTTTCCCCAATATCCAAGTTAAACCTCCCCCTGGCACAGCCTGAGGCCGTTCCCTCTCCTCCTGTCCCTTGTTCCCTGGGAGCAGAGCCCGACCCCCCCCGGTTCCCCCCTCCTGTCAGGGAGTTGCAGAGCCAGAAGGTCCCCCCTGATCTTCCTTTTCTCCAGGCTGAGCCCCCCCAGCTCCCTGAGTTCTCCTGCTGCTCCAGCCCCTTCCCAGCTCCGTTTCCTTCCCTGGACATGCTCCAGCCCTTCTGTGTCTTTCTTGTCAGGAGGGGCCCAGGACTGCCCCCAGGATTCCAGGGGGGGTCTCAGCAGGGCCAGCACAGGGGACATCACTGGTCCTGTTGGTCACACCATTGCTGGCACAGCCCCGGTGCCACTGTGGCCTTCTTGGCCACCCGGGCTCGTGTCCAGCTCCTGCCACCAGCACCACCAATGGCACTGCAAACAGAAGCCCTTCATCTCTCTTTCATCTCCCTTCCTCTCCCTCTGCATGTTGGGGGATGCTCCTGGAGCCCCTGGGCCTGTCCCTGGCAGCCGTGACCCCAGACAGAGCCATCTGAGGGGGCACAGCAGCCCAGGGCCTCTCCTCCTGCACTGCTGTTCCACAGACGTGTCCTGGCATCACTGGGGCACCACCAACCCCTCGAGGGCTTTGGGACCAGCACGAGACACGACCCCTCCATCCCACCCAGGGTCTGCAGCTGCTCCGGCTGCCCCAGGAACTTCACGTGGTCCCAGGAAAAGGCTCGTGTTGAAATGACTGAAAAACCTGTGTGTGTGACCCCGTAAATGGTAAAGGTTTGGACTGGGGCTGTTTGGATGGGGTTTTATCCTCTCCAGGGCAGCCAGTCCCTGAGTTCTGCTCCTCGCAGGAGGGCTCAGCTCCTGCTGACAACCCAAGCGAGGAGAGGAGCGTCGGGGCAGGAAAGGGCTTCCCACTGGACGGCCAGAAATGATCTTTGTGCCAGAGATTGGGCTGATGGTCCAGGAGGGAACATCACCTGGTCCAGGAGGGAACATCTCCCCCTCCGTGGCCACGCTCACCTGGAACTCCAGGACTGTGGATGGACACCGTGGTTCCCAGGGGAAGGAGGGGCAGGGGATGCTGTGGGGGTCTAGGAGGGTCTGTGAGGGGCAGGGGGTGTCGTGGGGTCTGTGAGGGGGTGTTGTGGGGTCCGTGAGGATCTGTGAGGGGCAGGGGGTGTCGTGGGGGTCTGTGGGGGTCTATGGGGGTCTGTTGTGGGGTTTGTGGGGATCAGGGGGTGTTGTGTGGTCTGTGAGGGCAGGGTCACTCACCGTGCGGGAGGTGGGCGGTGCCGAGGGGCTGGTCAGGGACACCATCTCCTGGATGGCGAGGCGGAGCTTGAGGCGGTGCAGGGCGTTGCTGATGCCGATCTCCCGCTGGATCTCGGTGTCCGACAGCGCCGACATGATCGCCCCGCTCTTCACGTTGGCGCGACACGCGGCCACGTACCAGGCTGGCATCCCCACCCAGAGCTGCCGGGACAGGGCACAGTGGTGACCGCCCAGTGAGCCACCCCATTGCACACTGAGCCACCCCATTGCACACTGAGCCACCCCACTGCCCAGTGAGCCACCCCATTGCACACTGAGCCACCCCACTGCCCACTGAGCCACCCCATTGCACACTGAGCCACCCCATTGCCCACTGAGCCACCTCACTGCCCACTGAGCCACCCCATTGCACACTGAGCCTCCCCATTGCCCACTGAGCCACCCCATTGCCTGGTTGATCCACCCCACTGCCCACTGAGCCTCCCCATTGCCCACTGAGCCACCCCATTGCCTGGTTGATCCACCCCACTGCCCACTGCCCCATCCCATTGTCCACTGCCCCACCTCACTGCCCACTGAGCCACCCCACTGCCTGGCTAAGCCAACCTACTGCCCACTGAGCCACCCCATTGCCCACTGAGCCACCTCACTGCCCACTGAGCCACCCCACTGCACACTGAGCCACCCCATTGCACACTGAGCCACCTCACTGCCCACTGAGCCACCCCATTGCCTGGCTGAGCTACCCCACTGCCCACTGACCCATCCCACTGCCCACTGACCCACCCCACTGCCCACTGCCCCACCCCACTGCCCACTGACCCATCCCACTGCCCACTGCCCCCCCCCACTGCCCCCTGAGCCACCCCAGTTGAAGCTCAGTATCAAGTTGATGCCTCACATGGGCTCTTTATGGTTGGACCTTGTGCAGGTGGCCCGTGGGCAGCCCTGTGTGTGCTGGGCACAGCTCAGCCTTCCATGGGATCATGGAATCACTCAGGTTGGAAAAGGCCTCTGAGATCACCAAGTCCCACTGTTCCCCCAGCACTGCTGTGTCACCACTAACCCACAGCCCCAAGTGCCACATCCGCGGGTTTTTTTGAGCACTTTCAGGGGTGGGGACTCCACCACTGCCCTGGGCAGCCCCTGCCAATGCCTGAGCACCCTTTCCAGGAAGAAATTTTCCCCAACATCCAACCTGACCCTCCCCTGGCACAGCCTGAGGCCGTTCCCTCTCCTCCTGTCCCTTGTTCCCTGGGAGCAGAGCCCGACCCCCCCCCAGCTCCCCCCTCCTGTCAGGGGGTTGCAGAGCCAGAAGGTCCCCCCTGAGCCTCCTTTGCTCCAGGCTGAGCCCCCCCAGCTCCCTGAGTTCTCCTGCTGCTCCAGCCCCATCCCAGCTCCCTCAGCTGCTCCTCACCAGACCTGGGCTCTAACCCAAAGTTCTCCTCAAACCACAGCTCTGCAGACCCTGTGAGGGATCTGGGGGATCTCCTCTGCTCCCCCAGGATTTGCAGCCACCAGTGCCTGGACCAAGCCTGGTGGGACTGGGAGTGCTGGGGGAGCGATCCCAGCCCAGTGGTGACAGTGTGGGGACAACGACAGGCTCTGCCTCACCTCCAGCCAGGACACGACAGTGGGGCCATCCCAGTGAGCAAAGGGCAACCCTTTCCTCCGGGCCTCTTCCAGGAGCTCGTGCCTGGGAGGAAAAGAAGCAGAGGAGTGATTTACTGAGGGTTTGGGGGGAAAGGGAGCAGCTCCTGAAAGGGAACAGACCACGGGCAGCGAGAACCAGCTGGAGGCAGAAGGAGGTAACAGGACTCGAGGGTGGGCAAAGATGAGAGCACTTCCCAGCAACTCCCAGATCCACACCATGGCTTCCCAGCCATCCTTTTCCTGCCAGGGTAGGGAAGGAAGTTCACTCACTTCTTCCGCAGGCGCCGATCCTTCTCGGCCTGAGCTCCCAGCTTGCCCAGGCCCAGGGGGTCCTGGATGCTCCCCTCCGCGTCAGTCAGCACCACTGTGGGGGGAAGGAAGACACCCCCAGGTCAGAGTGACATCCCAGGGTCAGTGTGACATCCCCCAGGGCCAGTGTGGGCACTGCCACTGTCCCCACAGTCACAGCACAGGAGGGACAGTCTCCACGTCCAACCCACCACGAGGCTCCCCTGCCTCCCTGGGAAGCCCGAGGGAATCCCCAGCTGCCACCCCTCCTGTTTCAAAATGCTCAGCGTGGGAGCAGGGAAGGATTTGGGAGTGGAAAAACAGCTCCTATCAAAGGGCTCTGCCAACCCCACGAGGTCCCACAGGGAGGGGAGCAGGTTTGGGGACATCACAGATTCAGGGATGGGGGGTCACCACCCACCCCCCAGCTCTGGTAGAGCACCAGAGGTGACACCAACACTCCGGCCACGGGGAGAAGGCACCAGGTCCCAACCCCCCAACATTCCCAAAGCAGCAGGGGTGTCCCTGCCCCTCCACCTGTCCCCCAGGAGCACCCCAAGGCCAGGCAGGCTGGGAGGGTGCAGGGCCTGGCACCGCATGCAGGGATGGGGCTGTCACAGACCCTGCCCCGTGGCCCCTTCTCTGCTCAGCTGGATCAAGCGACCCTTCTCCTTTTTCCCAAACAAGCGCCCGATGGAGGATTTGATCCCCTTCCTCTTGGAGCCCTTGTGCAGGGAGTCCTGGCTGCTGCTGGGGTTGCTGGCCTGATCCTCCAGCGAGCTGGGGACAGAGGAGGGAGAGGAACAGCAAAGCCTGGAGGTTATTCCCGAGCAGGGCACAAAACCCAGCCCGGCTCACAGTCCCACCCGTGCCCCGTGTCTGTCCCCAAACCGAGGGAGCAGGCACCAGGGTGACCTCCCGGGGTGCTCCACTTACCCCTTCCCATCCTCCTGGCTCAGAGCAGGGTGACCCAGCTTCTCCAGCCTCAACGCCCTGGGCGAGGAAGGCGGGGACGTCTCGCACTTGATGGTGGTTTTGTCCTCCCGGCTCTCGTCCCGAGCTGCGGGCGACTGAACAAGCGGAGAGGCCGTGAGGGGGGGCAGCCAGAGCCCAGCTCCATCCTTGCCCTGCTGCCTGCCTCTCTCTTGCTCCATGGAGGCATGGCCAAAAGAGCCACCAGAGCCCTGAGGCTTCGCCACACTCCGGGATTGGCCTGAATTAAGAGCCCTGGCAATGGTTCCAGAGGCCCAAGAGCTCTGGCAATGGTTCCAGCATGGGGAGGACGTGGCCGTGTGGCCGAGATCCTGGGAATAGGGAGGTGAGAGGATGCAGCCCCATGGTCCAGGTCAGGGTGTGGAGACAGAAGCTGCTGGCCCTGAGCAGAGGGCTCTGAGGAGCACAGATGGGAACGTCCCAAACGCCAGAGGGGACACAATGTTTGAGGACCCAGTGGCTTTCTGAACCTCCCCACGTCCTGCCAGACCCCCCAGGCTGCCGGTGGGAACGTGTCCAAGCACCTTTGGGGATCCCCATGATCCTCCTGCCGAATCCCTGGGGTCCCCCAGCTCCATCCCGCGCCTGCTGCCCCCTGACCCGGCGTGGGCAGAGCCAGGAGCAGGCTGGAAAAAGGGCTTGGACAAAAACCAACGGGATGGGAGCCACTCACTAGCAGTTTCCTCCGGTGCTTCCTCAAGTCGCTGGGCTGATTGCAAGGGGGAAAGCGAGAGAGACACAGAAAGGGGGGCAGTTAATGGAGAACCCCCCCAGCAGAGCAGGCCCGGGGCCAGGCGTGCCAGGCTAGAGACACAACCACGGGCACCCTCGCTCCACCCCCCCCCACACACAGCCCTGAGGGTGCCAGGGCATCGCTCCCACCCCAGACAGTCACACACCCCCTGCCCAGCCCCCGGGAGCCCCCGGGCCCTCACCAGCGTCATGATGCCCATGCGGTCCAGGTCCTGCGCCGCGCTGCGCGAGCTCAGCTTGGGCGTGGAGCGGCCACTCAGGGGGGGGGACGAGCTGGCCAGGGACAGGGCGGTCAGGGAGGTGGGGATGGAGGCCCTCTTGCAGAGCTGGGTGAGGTTGAGGCCCTCCATGCTGCCGCTCGTGACGCGCGTCTCCAGCTCCTCCGCGCGCAGCTCGGTGGATTCCTTCTCCTCCTGGATCATCCTGGGGGAGCAGGAGGGGGCTCAGGGGGTCAGCTCACCCCTCCCGGCCACAGGACATCCCTTCCCTGGGGGAAATGCACCCTGGTGCTGTGACTCGAGCCCCCCCAGTCTCCAGGAATGGCAGCGAGATCCACCAGGATCCACAGAAACCAGGGCTGACACACACCATGGGTTCTTTTAATGCTCTTGGGGGGCTTTTTTTTAAAATAATGACCCTGTGATCCAGCAGTGGTGCAGCTGAGGGACAAGGAGCCATGGGCAGGAAGGACCAAGCCCTGTGGCTGGATGTTCTGGAGCCATTTCCCTGGCTGAAGATGCACCAAGACCTCAATTTTAGGGCATCAGAGACTCCTCCCACCTTCTGGCAGCTCATTGACTCCCCCCCAGAGACACTTCAGCACAAGGCAGGGCACAAGCCACGGTCACTACCTGATCTCCTCATTGATGGCATCCAGCTGCTCCTGGAGCATCATGGCCAACGTCTGGGCATCCGAGTGCCCCCCAGGGGAGAGCACGTCCATGGAGCTGAAGAGTGTCTCGCGGTCGTCCTCGTCCACGTCCGAGATGTCGGGGTCGCTGTCGAAGCTGTGGGGCCCTGTGGCCAGGACAGCACCTGCCTGGGCCTGCTCCCAGTCCTGGGGGGGACAAGGGCCACTGGTCCTACACGGCACCCCTGAAAAGCCAGACTGGAGCCCTCTCCACACAGGAGTTACAGCTCAGTGTGACTCCAAGGGAAACCCTTCTGAACCAGTCACAGGGACCAGTTTATCACCCTGTGGATAACCAACCCTGTGTGTGCTACACCCTCTGTGCCACTGCTGAGGGACTGCTAATAAAGGGATAACCAACCCTGTGTGTGCTACACCCTCTGTGCCATTGCTGAGGGACTGCTAACAAAGGGATTGTTTGCAGCAGCTGCCCAGGGCACACCTGACACCTCAGGCTCTCAGAACCCTGCAGGCAGGGCAGCGTTTCTTTGTCCTCACACCAATGGCTCAGCCCTGGGAACTCCCCTCCAGGGAGGCATCAGCACCTTCACCCCCAGCCCGAGGGCTCATCTCTGCTCATGGGCCACCTTGGACTGGCACAAGGGGCAGCTGCAGCCACCCAGAGCATCAAAGGTTCCAAAAACGTCCCAGGGCTCACAGAGTTCAATCCCCCCTCGGGACAGTCCCCGCCCTGGGGGAGGCACTGGGCATCCCCACCTCAACCTGAGCACAGACACTCTGCGGGTCTGGGCACTGCTGGGACCACTGGTGGATCCAGAGGAGGACCAGAACTCCAACAGAACTGTGCCCACCATCCTGACCAACAGCTCTCCTTTCCTTTTCCTTTGCCCCCGGGGGGGCCACGTGGAGCTCAGCACTGGGGCCCATGAACACTGCTCTGTTCTTGCCCCAGGGTGCTGGGTTATACATCTGTCTTTGGGGGTTAAAACCAGTTTTCTTCGTATCATTGCACTTACTGCAATCATTTTAGTGAATTGTAACTCTGACTTGGGATCTCTCTCGAGTTGGGTTTGTTTCTCCCACTGCTTTCCTTTTAAACCAGCATTCCCTCCTTACCTCCCTCACCCACACACCAGGCAGAGGGAACTGCCCCACATCCCCAAATCAGGACGCAGGAGAGCAGGACACCAGGCAGGAGCAGATCCCAGCCCCACGATGCCAGGATGCCAGGCAGGAGCAGATCCCAGCCCCCCCCGCCCCAGCCCGGTTACCTTGGCTGGCTCCTCCCTCCTGGCAGCGAACCGACCCTTCTGTGCCCGGGGCAGCCCCGGGGCCGCTCCGAAGGGCTCGGCGGGCGCGTGGACCAGCGGGAAGCGCAGGTCTGTGGCACTGCCCATGTGGGACCTGGGGACAGAGAGCCCTGTGGTGGGCACTGCTCCGCTGTGCCAGGGTGCCCAGGCTGCCCCCCTGGCAGCCCGGGCTGCTCGGGACAGAGCAGGAGGATGAGGCCACTCCGGGATGCCCATCCCAGCGGTGCTGGAAAGGAGGAAAAACCCAGCTCTGGGAAAAGTGTCCCATTCCCACCCCACTGGCCCTGGAGATGTGCTCAGAGACTCACAGTCATAAAACATCCTGAGCTGGAAGGGCCCCCCAAGGATCGTCGATTCAACCCCTGGCCCTGCACAGACACCCCAACAATCCCACCTGCCCCTGAGAGCATTGTCCAAACCCTTCTGGAGCTCTGGCAGCCTTGGGGCTGTGCCCATTCCCTGGGGAGCCTGGGCAGTGCCCAACCAGCCTCTGGGGGAAGAACCTTTGGCTGAGATCCAACCTGAGCCTGCCCTGACACAGCTCCAGCCATTCCCTGGGTCCTGTCCCTGCCCAACCTCACCCAGAGCAGAGGTTGGAGCTGCCCCTTGGGAGGAAGCTGCAGATCCCAATGATTCTCCCCTCAGGAGACTTCACCTTTCCCACAGGCTGTAGGAAGCTCTGCCCTGGGCCCTCCCAGGCTGCTCCCTCCCCATCCTGGGCACCCCAGGGGGGAATCCAGCCAGTTGTCCCCAAAACCCCCCACTGCAGGGGGGGCTGAACAGGCTCCTCCTGCCTTTCCCCCTCCAGAACAGTTCAAACCTCCCAACACCCACAGCACAACCTGTGTCTTCTCCATCCCCACGTGCACCACAGGGGCCAGCCAGGGAGCTCCTCTCCTTTCTCTGTTTCCTTCAACATTTTCATGAAAAAACACCCCGATGGGGGAACAAGTGACAGGACAGGGGGAAACGGCCTCAAGTCGCACCAGGGGAGGTTCAGGTTGGTATCAGGAAAATCTTCTTCACTGACAGAGTGGCCAAGCACTGGCACAGGCTGCCAGGGCAGTGGTGGAGTTGCCACCCCTGGAAGTGTTCAAAAAACGAGTGGACATGGCACTTGGAGAGAGGATTTAGTGGGAATGGGACTTGGACAAAGGTCGGACTTGACCTTGGAGGCCTCTTCCAAACTTAATGATTCCATAATTCCGTGAACAAAATGCCACTGGAAGCACCTTCAAGGTGTGAGGACACGAGCACTGTCTGGGATCTCCCAGCAGAAACCAGCTGGAACTTCTTCCTCCTCCTCCTCCTCCTCCTCCATGCTGGGGAGCAGCTCCTATGCCAGGCAGGGCACGGCAGAGGCTGCTGGACACAAGGACACTTCCTGCCACTCCTGGCACTCCATCCATGTCTCCACGTTTCCTGGCTGCTCCTTCTTGCCCTGAGCACCCACCCAGGGGCTCGGGGCCGTTCCCCCCTGCACACACTCCCACAGGAGCCACGAGGTTTATTGAATTTAAGCTGCATTTCAGGTGACGAAAGCAGGTGTCCGAGGCAGGTCGTGTTTGCCCACCACGGTGGGCCTGGTTTGCAGGCAGACCCAGGGCTGGGCTCCCCAGTGAGCCCAGACAAAACCACCCCCACGAGCAGCTGGGCTGTGCCAGCCTGGGCTGTGCAGGCAAAGGCACAGCTCGAGTTCCAGGGGGGATTTGAGCTGCTGACAAAGTTGCTCCCCAGCTAAGACCAGACAAAGGCACCTCAGGCAAAAGCTGACATTTCAGCTGGGGGATTACTCTGCAGCTCCAGATTTCTGTTGATTTTTCCTCCAAGAAATATTAAAAAAGCCCCATTGAATTGTCCACTCTGCTCTCACAGACCCAAAGGGGTCCCACAAGTGCTCCAGGCTCTCCTCCAGCACTCAGCCAACCCTTGTTCCTCACAGGCTCTTCCTCACTCTCCCCTTTTCTTCTCTCCATGACAGACCTGGGGCCTCCAGACCTTGCACTCTCTGCTGGCAGGTTTGAGGTTGGTCTCAGTGGCTCCTTCCCAGCTTTTCCAGCCTTCCTGAGAGGGGAATTTTGCTCCCATTGACCCCTCGGTGTCTTGAACCCACGCTGAGAGTGCTCAGGAGAGGGTGTGCTGTCCCAGGCGGCTGCAGCAGCACCCTGGGGTGCACGTTGAGCTGTCACCTCCTTTTCCACCCCCTGTTTTCCTGCTGGGCATCCCAGTCAGTGCTGGAGGCTGAGACTCCACGGACTCACCTCTGCTCCAGCAGCTCTGGGCTGGGACGTCCCCATCTCCCAGAGACTTTAAATGAAAGGGTGTGGGAGGACCATGGTAGAAAGGAGGGGGAAAAATGGAGTTCATTCTGTTTGACCTGCAACACCTCAAAAATGATTCCTCTTTCTCCCCCTGCACACCACAGGGGGAAAGGCCTTTGGTGAACACCCAGCTTTCGTGGAAAATTAACCCCCAAGCCCTTTGTGCAGAAAAAGAAACAAATCCCAGTGGTTTTTCACCCTTAAAAGAGCAAATTTTGGACCATTCACTGGGCTGAGCTGATCCAAACAGTCTGTGTTTAGATCCAGGGCAGATCAAGCACTGCAGGGCTGGAGCTGAGCCTGCCCTGAGAGCCACCAGCAGTGCCTGATGCCAACAGCGCCCTGGGGTCCCCTAAAGCAAAACGCCCCCACAGCTGGGGGGCAGGGGCTTGGCTCTTACCTGGAGTGAACACTCTCCACGAAGGTCCCACTCCTGGTCTTGAGCTGATCCACCTCCAGCCTGAGCTTGTCGATCTCGTCGGACAGTCGCCGCTGTTCGGGGCGAGACGGGACAGGCAGGGGGTGGGTTTGGCTCTGAGGAGCTGCCAGGACTGAGGGAATCCACATCCTGGGCCACTGCCAGGGATATATTCCCTTCAAAAATCCCCACCCCAGGTTTAAAGCATCTTGGACAGTAAAGAAACAGCTCATGCAGGCACAGAGGAGGAGGATGCTGGGGAGGGGTCACAGGACAGACAGACAGACAGACAGATGTGTGTGTGCTCAAGCCATGCTGGTTTGGGAGATGAAGGAGAATTTGTCCCAGTTGGATGCTCTGGTTTTCTCCACACTGCACTTTGTCCCTTGGCAAAGGACCAGCAGGGAGGGACCCACCAGCCAAACTTGCTGCTGGTCCTGCCCCTCCTGCTGCCAGCCCCATTCCCAGGGGGAAGCTGTGCCTGCACTGGGAGATGGGAGAGGGGAGGCTGCAGGCAGGGAAGGAGAGAGGGGAGGGGGGTTCTCCTGCACAGCAGGATCCAGTCAGGGGGGCAAACAGGCTGAGCCAGGGCGGGCGACATCCCGACAGTGTCACACGAGTCCTTGGAGCATCTGGGACAGTGAGGCCTTGGCCAAGGAGGAGAGCAGACCCCCAGCCCCCCCAGCCATGCATGAGACATGAGGCACATCCCAAAAGCTTCCCATTGCTGCCAAAAGCTTCCAAAAGCTGTAACAACCCTTCAGGTTTGCAGCACGGGCCAACGGGGGTTCATGCAGGTCATACTCAGATGCTTTAGCTCAGAGTGTGAGACCTCCAGGGCTCCTGCAGGCTGGGTGTGGAGCTGATCCCCCCTAAGTCTGAGAAAGCCTCGAGGGGAAGGGGGTGTTGCTGCCTGATCCCTCCTCTATCCATGGGCAAAGCCCCCCCAGGCCTTGGGAGGTCGGGGATGGACGAGTGTGACAGAAGCAGGGAGACAGGACCAAACATGCCTGGCAGGGACCCGCCCCGGGGGTCTCCAGGGAGGTGGGTGGCAGCTTCCATCCAGCCACTGCCGTGGGTTAGTTTGTGCCCTCCTGCTGCTGGGCATTCCAGGATCCCAGCTCCTCCAAAACTAGGGCACTTCGGGAGGAGCCACCGCCCCTGTCCTGGGGTTTGGAGTGAGGAAGAGCAGCCACTGGGGCAGGCTCCCTGCAGCCTCATTTACCTTGTCGTGCTGGTGTTCCTCTATCTGCTTTTGGGTGTTTTCCAGCTCTTGTAACAATGTGTTCTTTTAAAAAAAAAACCAAAAGAAAATAAAAGGGAACAAAAAGAGGAAAGAAAAAGAGAGACCGTTTAGGAAACGGCCCAGGAATGGCCAGAGTGGGATCTCCGTGGGATGGGCACCGGGCACAGGGGTGGCAAAGGCTCCCTGAGCTGCAGGAACACCCACCTGCCCCTGGACAGGTCCCCTCTGCAGATCCTGCCCCTCAGGCAGGGTGGCCATGGACCATCTCCTGCCCCAAACCCGGGCAGGGAGGGCAAACAGGGACGAGGGGTTGGATGGGCAGAGCTCGAGGGTTAGAAGTGTGTGTGAGAGGAGCTCAACTCCCCCTCGGGCAGCTGGATCCAGGGAAAAAGTGTCCCCTACATCCAAGCCAGGGGAGAGAGCAGGTGTGTTCACAGAACCACAGAATTGTTGGGAAAAGGCTGGAAAAGCCCTCTGGGATCCGAGTCCAACCATTCCCCCAGCGCTGCCGTGTTCGGCCCCAAACCCGTCCCCAGGTGCCACATGCCCGCGTTTGCTGACCCCTCCCAGGGATGGTGACCCCACCCCTGCCCTGGGCAGCCTGTGCCAACGCCATAAAACTTCCTGTGAATTGGTTTTTTTATCCTAATATCTCATCTAAACCTCCCCTGTGGAGTTTGCAGCTGCCTGCCCTGGTGCTCTTTTTTGGGGGGGAGGAAAGCTGGAGGTCAAACAGAATCACTTTTTTTCCCATGAAAGACCTGGAGAAGCTCTCTGGGTGGCACCAGGCCGGGGAGCAGGTGCCACCACTCTGGTCCCTGTGACTTGCTGGGGTGGGGTTTGGGCTCATCCCTGTGGTCCTGCTGTTTATCCAGAGCCCCTGGACACACTGCTGAAGGACTGGACACGCTGGCAGAGCCACACGTGGGTGGGACAGGAGGGGATAGCAGCAGGGACACAGGGCCAGGCCTGGGGCCATCGGGGGGGATGGAGCCCTGTGTGCCCTGGCTGGCTTAGGGGAGTCTGGGCCCTGCAGGAACCCAAAGGGAGCAGAGTTACCAAGGTCTGACCTCCCACTGGCACTGGAAGGTGAATCCCTGCCTGGAGCCAGCTGATCTCCAGCTGGTTGAACTCACACTGGGGCAGCAGCAGCTCCAGCTGCTTTGCTCCAAGGAAAACCCCGTTCCCCAGAGTGGGGCGGGGGCTGGGAGGCTGCTCAGGGGCACTGCCCTGGCTTGGAGAGGACACATCAGCCCGGGTTTGGGGGACAGGAGGGTTTGAAGGGGTGGGCAGTGGGACAGGATGAATGCTGCATTTTTTTCCTGCAAAATGCAGTTGGGATTTGCTCCAACAGCCGGGCATGGGTGGCACCGAGGCCGTGCCAGCAGAGACACAGGGGAGGGAGGGAACGGAGCAGGACAAGTCCTGCTGCTGAGGGAGGTGGAGGGCAGTGGAAAGTGGGTCTCACCAGGCCGGGGTGAGCCGTGGAGCAGCTCCCTGTGCTCCCACAGGGTCGGAGTCCTGCATGTGCTCATTTCTCCATCCCTGCACGGGCACTTCCAACTCTGTGCCGTGGGCAGGCGAAGCTCCACACCAGAGGGGCTGCAGACCCCCCTTACAGCCCCCCAGAGGCCCCCCTGCCCCCCAGGCAGTACCTTCTCCTCCAGGGCTGCCATCCTCTCCTTGAGGTGCAGCTGCAGCCGCTCGTTGGACTCGCTCAGCAGCCGGTCCACGGTGTCCGAGAGCCGCTTGTTGTGCTCCTCGTTCATCTTCTCCCTCTGCCGGGCCTGGGGCAGCAAGCGGTGACCAGAGGGGCTGATCCTCCTGCCCTGAGGGCCTCAGTGCCCCCCTGCCATCCCCTGCCTGCCGTGGGGTCAGAGCTGCCCCACCAGGCCCAGCTTTTGGGGACAAATCCACCCCTTCCAGCCCTGTTGTGGTTTTCTGACACTCAGCCAGGGATGAACAGGAGAGAGGACAGGATTCAAGGAGATCCTGCCTGCCTGACCCTCAAGAAAGATCCAGCTGTGCATCTGCCAGGAACAGCCACACTGGGGCACATCCCAAACCCCAAGGGATGCTGGACTTCCGGATTTGCAAACGTCTGTCCTGGGACAAAACCAGCAGGGGCTTCACCAGGGACACATCCATAATGCCCAAGAAAAGGGTATCCCAGCTCCTGCAGGGACAGCCCAGGCACTGGCCAAGCAGCACAGCAGGGACTGTGCAGCCCCTGGCACAGCAGCCCAGCCTCCCTGTCCTTTGGATCCTGCTGATCCTGCTCCTGAGGTGGAGCCTCCCCTTCCCCCTTGCGTTTGGGGTCCCAGCCTGCCCCAGGGGGAGCTGCTGGGAGAGGAGTGGGTGTGGAATGTCGGCAGAAAGACCTGGATGCCTGGGAGAGGGGGAAACCACAGCAGAGAGTGCCATGAGCTCCTGTGTGGCTCCAGTTTGAGAGGTCCTGGGTGGGAAAGGCTCACCCAGACTGCTCTCCCCACCCTGCTCCAGAGACACCGGGTGTGCCCAGGTGTCCAGGTGCCAAGGGAAGGGCAGCCAAGGCTGGATCAGGACTGCAGGGGCAGCACTTACCCTGGCCAGCTCCTGGTTCTTCTCCTCCAGCTGGGTCTCCAGCTGCCGGAGATGCTCCTCGATGCTCCCGTGCCTCTCTTCTGCCTGGGAAAAGCAGAGCAGCCCTCTCGGATGATGCTCCCCAGAACCACGAGGGCCCTCCCGCATCCCTCCATCCATCCACGCATCCACATCCTTCCTGGGATGCAGCACCTTTCTCCCACTCACTGGGAGCCCAAACCAGCCCTGCCAGCACAGTGACAGGAGCTGGAGGTGCCCTGAGAGGGACTGAGCACCATTCCAGCACCCAGGAAGGGCAGGGATGGCCACGTCCACCCCCCTCAGGCCTGCACCCTCCCACACCCAGCCTGGTCCTTCCTCTTCCTCCTCTTCCCAGAGTGGTCCCGGTGGTCTCAGCAGGGTCATCTCTGAGCAAACCCCACAGGTGGAGGATTTCAAAGCGGTGCCTCGTCCCTGCAGCCCCGGGGCCGGCAGGGGACAGAGGAGCCCCATCTGGGAATGAGCACGGGGTGCCCTGGGCTGCCAGGGCTCCATCCCTGCAGGTTCCCACCCTCCCCTTGCCTTGGTGAGGGCGGCGATGCGCTGGGCCAGCTCCGCCTCCACCTCGGGCAGCGTCTCCGCCTTGCGCATCGTCTGCTGCAGCTTCTGCTCCGCCAGCTCCAGCAGCTCCTGCAGGTGCCGGGCCTTCTCCTCGCACTGGAGGACAGCCAGGGTGGGTGCCTGCTCACCTGAGCCACCCCCGGCGCCCACTCCCAGCTCCCGGGGTGACGGGGAGCCCGCGGGCACGGCCCCGGTACCTGGCGGTGCAGGGACTCCTTGTTGGCCAGCTCGTTCTCCAGCTTGTCGTTGAGGTCGTGGATGGAGGTGGCCTCTCTCTGGGCTGCCAGGTAGCGCTTCTCCAGCGTGGTGATCCTCTCCTCCATGTCCTCTTTCTGTGCCAGGGCCTGGGGAATGTCACATCCTGATCTGTGACCACCAGTATGGGAATAACTGGGACACCCAGTGAGCCTGGGACACCCTGAGTCCAAGAACACGGGGAAAAGCCTGCCTTGGACAGGGATGAGGGGCAGGAGAGTGGGACAGAGATAAAGGGGGAGTCAAGCAATCCCAGGAAAACCTTCTAGCAGGGACACAGCTCACTGCCCCAGGTCTGCCTCTGACCTCAGGGAAGTCCTGCTGGTGGACCTGGGGACAGTGTCCCAGAGGCCAGGGGCTCTTTTGGGGGACGCCCCACAGGCAGCAGGACTTCCAGGGCCTTCCCAGCCTGGATGCTGCTGATCCCAGGCCTGGCAGAGTGGGAGGCAGTGGCTCACCTCTCGCAGGTCCCTCTGGTACTTGCTGCTCATCTCCTCGGATTTGATGAGGTCCTTCCTGGCGGTGCCCAGGTCCTCCTCCAGCTCAGCCACGCTGGCAGCCAGAGCAGAGATGCGCTCCTTGGCCTGCACCACCTCGAAGTTCTGCTTCTCCAGGAGCTCCTGCAGCTCCACCACCCGCCCGGCCTCGTCCTCCGGGTGCACGGAGCCGTTGGAGAGTCGCTGCAGGGCGGCACAGAGGGAAGGGGATGCCAGGCTGCCCCACAGCTCCCGGGCTCTGGCATCGCCTGCAGCCACACAACAGGGCAGTGTGGCCCTGCAGGGATCTGGGGGAGGGGTGGGAGTGGAGACACGGCGCTCTGGGACCCCCTGGGAACAGCCTCCTCTGGCCAGGGATGGGGCTTCCACAGGCACAGTGGAATGGGGATGGTTGAGGGCTTCCCAGGGCAGCTGGTGGAAGGTGTCCCTGCCCGTGGCAGGGGGTTGGAATGGGATGGTCTTCACAGTCCCTTTCCGCCCAAACCATTCTGGGATTCTGTGAGCTCTGGGAAGCAGAGCCCCTGGGAGCGCCCTGACACCACTCCGGAATGGGCTGGATCCACCAGGAAGGGCATTTCCCAGGGGGTCGGAACCAAGGGAGAGGGAAAATGGGTTCTCAGCACCCCCCTGGAGCCGTAACAGGGGGTTGGAGGAACTATGTCCTCCCTGAGCGTGGTCAGAGCAGGGGTTCCTGGGCTCTCACCTTCCAGGGAAGCTTCGGGGCTGGTTCCTTGGGCTCATCCCGCTCTCCCGCCGGGGCCTCCCGCACGGCTCCTTGCTGGAGAGCTGCCACCTGCCCGGGAACAGGGATCAACCCATGGATCTGGGCAGCAGAGATGGGGCACTGGTGGGGTCACACCTCCAGTCCTGGGGGCAGCTCTGGGCCCCTCACAACAAGAGAGACACGGAGGGGCTGGAGCATGTCCAGGGAAGGGAACGGAGCTGGGGAAGGGGCTGGAGCAGCAGGAGAACTGAGGGAGCTGGGGAAGGGGCTGGAGCACCAGGAGCTGCTCAGGGAGCTGGGAGGGCTCAGCCTGGAGAAAAGGAGGATCAGGGGGGACCTTCTGGCTCTGCAACCCCCTGACAGGAGGGGGGAACCGGGGGGTGTTGGGCTCTGCTCCCAGGGAACAAGGGACAGGAGGAGAGGGAACGGCCTCAAGTTGCTCCAGGAGAGGTTTAGGTTGGATATTGGGGGAAATTTCTTCCTGGAAAAGGTGGTCAGGCCCTGGCACAGCTGCCCAGGGCAGTGGTCAAGTCCCCACCCCCGGAAGTGTCCAAAAAACACATGGAAGTGGCACTTCCTGACATGGTTCTGTGTCATGGGGGTGTTTGGTCAAAGGTTGGACTTGATGGTCTTGGAGGTCTTCTCCGACCTTAAGGATTCCATGATTCCAAGAGAGAGGGAGGCAGAGGGGCTGTGAAGGTGAGCACTGAGGGAGGTTTTCTTGGGGAGTCCTCAGGGATCTGAGCCCTGTATCCCAGGGCTCCCAGCTCATTTTACGGGTTGGCAGCCAAACAGGTTTGAAACCTGGTCCGGCAGGAGCAGGGGACAAACACTGACATCATGTCCTGCTCTGGGGGGAGAGGATGGGGAGTGGTCCCTGCGAGGTGAGGGACCTGGGAGCCTGAGGAAGCACCACCAGACTTATCCTGGGAACTGGAAAGAGGAGAAGAACTTGGCCAGGCTGAGGGATGGCTCTTCCCTTTGGGCAGCAGTGGCCGGGAAGGAAAACAGGGTTGATGCCTCTCCAAGAACAGCCCATCCCTGGAAGTGTTCACAGCCAGGTTGGATGAGGTTTGGAGCAACCTGGGATAGTGGAAGGTGTCCCTGCCCACAGCAGGGGGTGGAACGGGATGAGCTTTAAGGTCCTTCCCCCCCAAACCCTTCTGGGATTCTGGGATTCCAGGATGAAAAGGGTTGGAGGCTGGGGACAGCAAGGTCCCCATTCCAGGGCTCCAACAAGGAAAAAGGTGGGAAATGCAAGGTGAGGGGCTTGGAGAAGCAAGGTTTGGGTCTCTGCTGAAGCAGGGAGATCCCAAGTCACCCTCAGTCCCCTGAAACAATTCAGACTCAGGTTGGTTTGTGTCAGTGAAATGAACTCCAAACAGCCAAAAGAACAGGGGGAACCTCGCCTGGGAGACAAAGGCTCCCAGAACCTCTGCAAGGTTCCCTCAAACACAGACAATCCTTCATGGAAGCAGCGAGTTCAGAACAAAAGCCTCCCACCAGAAAGGCCCAAACACCATCTCTCTGATCTGCACGACCAACTGAGGGTGGTGTTTGAGCAACTTCAACCACGAATGTCCCGGGGAGCAGCTCCAGTGCCCCAGGAAGGGCCCGGGGTGGGTGCCCAGGTGCCCCTCACCTGCCGATGGGCGTCCACCAGCTGCTCCTCCAGGGTGGCCACTCGCTCCAGGGCTGCTCTCAGGCGTTCCCGGACCTGCAGGAGTGGGAAACAACAGGAGAGGCCGTTACTGATCCACGAGGAGGGTGCCCAGGATCCAGGCCAGCTCCCAGCCCTGCCAGGCTCGGGGGGATTCACAGGCTCAGCATCATCCAGCCCATCCCGTGGTGGGGGAGGAAGGGAGAGGCTGGGCCAGCTCTGGGAGATCTGTGGCCAGGACAGCCTGGAGACATCCCCTGGCAGAGGGAGGAGATGCTTGAGGCAAAGGAACCAGGAGGAACAAGAGCCACAGTGCAGAGGCTGACCCAGAGTGCCCAGTGCCAGCCCCCAGGAGGGGCTCAGGGGAGCTCCCCATCCCCAACAGCCCCAAACCCCCTTGGCAGCCCCCCCAGCTCCTGGGGGCAGCTTTGGGGTATCCAAGGCCTTCCTCCTGAAGGGTTCCACGTGAAACAAGGACTCGAGGCTCCAGGCCTACAGCACTCAGCTGCCCTTAGCACAAATATAAATTTGTAAAATGTAACCACAAGTTTGGTTTGAATAAATACCAGATTGTAACTGCTTGTAAACAGAAAACTCCCCCAGTGACCAGGCAAGAGAAGAGCTCAAGAGAGGCCAGTAAGGATCTGCCCTCCCGACAAAATGAGGTGTAAGATCAAGAAAAGAGCTTCAGCAAACAGTAATTGATATTTTAACACAAGAGTAGTCACCTATTGGTCTTAAAATATATGTGTAATTATAATGACTATTTAATAGTAAGTATAAAACTGCAAGTTGTCGTGTATCGACTCTGTATGAATGCACCTTTAAAATAAAACTTTGTAAGTTGTTTGGTCAAGGGTATAAATACCCTGTGAGAACTGTCACTCAGTGGACACATACATGGAATTCTGACCTTCCTTTCCTCTTTCTCCTTCTCCCTTTCTTCTCTCTTTCTTTACCCTTTTAATCTGTTTTCTTCTTTTACTCTTTCCTTTCCCTTGTGGACAACTTAAAACCCATGAACTGTGTTTTACTAAAGCTGGTGTATCGATCCTGGGGAACGGGTCTTTGCCCTGGGTGTCTTAGTAAAACATTTTTCCTTGGTTGCATTTTAACTCCTGTAAAACCTTTTGCCAAAACACCTTCTTTTCCTCACTAAATTAAAAGAACTTCTCTTAGAGGAGAGCGTGTGACTCTTCCTCCGGATGCGAATTCAAGGCTATGACAAACCAAAAGGCTTTTAAAAAGCCTTAAAACGTAAGTGCTCTGGGCAGAGCTCACAGCTCAAACTGCGGGGTGTAACATCGAGAGTAACACCGCCTCACCTTCTCATCCAGCGCCTTGTGATGCTCGAAGAGCGACTTGAGAGCCTTGAGCACCTCGACCTCGCTGGAGACGCCGGACGGGGACTGGGCCTGGCGCTTGACCACGGTCATGCGGAGGGAGCGCTCGTGCCGGGACACCAGGCACTCCAGGTGCTCCAGCAGGAGCTGCGGGGGCAGAGCGAGGGGGGGTCACCGCCGGGCTGGGGGGGTCCCAAACCCCGGGACAGCGACGGCCCCGCCCTTACCCGGGTGTTGTTGCGTTCAGCCTTCAGCTCCGAGATCTCCTCCTCGCGCTCCAGGAGCTGCTCCCGGCAGGCGCTGAGCTCCCGCGTCAGCGTCGCGAACTCCTGCGGGGACGGGGCCGTCAGGGGGCACGGGGGTGGGGAGGGGGGCAGAGGGGTGGGGATGGAGCCAGAGTTCCAGCCCCGCTGCCGAGACCTCCGGCACGGGGCACTTCCCACCCAAACTCGACCAGGGAGAGGGCAGCGTCAGGAGGTCGGTGGGGAAGCACATCCCAGGCCACATTCCCGGCCTCTCCAAGTGCTTCGCACGAGGAAAAGCGCAGCATCCCGATATTTACCCATTTGGTTTGATGTCCAGTGACAGGACACACTGCTCTGCAGCTCCAGAGGTGCTCGATGGCATTTAGAGCTTCCCAGCCAAGGCCACCAGCGTGTTCCCATTCCCACTGTCCCCTCGATGCAGAGCACCCACCCTGGAGCCTCCCAGGAGGTCAAACCTCCCACAAAGCCAGCCAGGATGAATCCCCTGGCCCTCAGCCAGCCTCAGTCCCCTGGCCCTCAGCCAGCCTCCATCCCCTGGCCTTCAGCCACCCTCTGCCATGGCCTCAGGACCTGGAATCATCCAAAAAAACCTCCTTCCAAAGGAAAGAGCAAGACCTGCCCCAGTCCAGTGTGTGGAGCCCCACTGAGCTTCCTACGGGGCAGCCCCAGGCCCCAAACCCCAGAGGAGAGGGATGGGACACAGCAGGAAACATGCCAGGTGCCACCAGTTCTTGCTCCTGTCACCGGGAGGTGACAGCCAGGAAGAGCCGTGCCCAGGGCACTGCCAAAGGAGAGCTGCCCAGCCAGCACATCCCTGGGGATGGGCTCCTGGGAAACACCAATCCCACTCACGGCTGTGTCAGAAGGGAAAGGAAACTCCCCCTGAAGTTCCCGGGATGCGGGAGGGTTGGTTTTCCCTTAAAAACTGAACCCCCAGCAGCTGGGTGAGCCCAGGAGCACCTCCCACTGCTCCTTCAGGGCTCCTTCGGTCCCGAGCGGTGCCAGGACCAGGAGACGTTTCGCAGCTGGGATTTTTTAGGGTGAAAAATGCAAATGTGGGAATGAGTTGTGAATTTACACCACTTTCACAGTGTTGCTGAGAAGAATTTTAAAAGGCAAAGGGTTTCAGAAGAAGCTGAGAAGGATTTGATGGAGCATTAACCAAATTTCCACTGAGGGCTGAGAGTGGTTTTACAGCATGAGATTCTCTATCGCTTCAATTTTCAGGTTAAACAAATAAAACCCCTTCAAACCGAAGCAAAACGTTGAGGCTTAGGCTGAACCAAATGCTCTGTTCAGCTCCAAGTGAGACCTCCTGCAACAGCTGAAGCTCCAAGAAATCCAGAGCTTTTCCATCCCGGAGGTTTTCCCTCTCCCTTCCCACCCCGACCCTCCCTTGCTGGAGGGGTTTTTGCAGCCTGGGGCTGCTGGGGGTGGTGGTGGCACTGAGGAAGCTGCAGCCCCACTGGGGGACAGGACCCGAGCAGGTCCCAGTGTGGGGAAGGGAGGAGTCCTTGTCCCTGTGAACAGCTGCTCTCCTGCCCCTCACCTGCCCCAGGGGCTGCCCCCTCACATCCTCACCCCGGCATCACCCCAGGGCCCGAGTTCCTTGGCTCCTTCCCAGACCCACTCCTGCCCCAGGCCTTCCTTAGGGACCCCTCCAGCCTCGGGGCCATCCCTGTCCCCATCCCTTCCCCAGGGACCCCTCCAGCCCTGGGTTCATCCCTTTCTCCATCCTGCCCCAAGGATCACTCCAGTCCTGGGATCACCCAAGTCCTGGGCTCATCCCTGTTCCCAACCCTTCCCCAGGGACCACTCCAGACTTGCTGTCACCCCTGTCCTGGGATCACTCCAGTCCCGGCATCATCCCTGTCCTCATCTCTTCCCCAGAGACCCCTCCAGCCCTGGGCTCACCCCTGTCCCCATCAGTTCTCCCCCAAACTTGTCACAACACCCCAAACCCCCATCACCAGCCTCTGCCGTGCCCAGGCCCCCTCCCACACTCACTCCCAGCCCATCCCACAGTCCCCCCGTGCAGTGACCCCACTGCAGACCCAGCTGCCCTGGGAACCCCCTGTGCCAGCCCAGCCCTTCCCAGAGCCCAGCTCTTCCAGACGAGGGGATCCCAGCTCAGTGGGATCCCAGCTCTCCCAGTCAGAGGGATCCCAGCTCTCCCAGCTCTCCCAGCCCGGTGGGATCCTGGCCCAGTGGGATCCCAGCCCTGCCCAGCCCAGCCTCACCCCCCGTGTGTGTTCCGTGGGTTATGCAATCGCTGCGAGCAGCTCCTGAGCATCCCTGCGGATTAAATCCGGGCTGGGAATGCCGGCGAGCAGGAAGCAGCAGCGCGAGGAGCCCGTGCATCGCCGGGCTGCTTCAGATTCAGGGATGTGTCACTGCCCCGGCCCCTCAGCGTGCCAAGACGAGGGCAGCGAGGCTTAAGGAGCTCGGGAAGAGCATCCTGGCAGTCGTGGTGGCCCCGGGAATGTCGTTCAGCGAGCGGGGAAACACTGCGGGCTCTTCCAGCACCGGGGCAGGAGCCCTGCGGATCCAAAGCCCTCGGATCTGCTCTGCCCCGTGGTCGGCAGGGAAAACAGAGACTGTGGCCGTGGATACTCTTCCCACTGGAGCGAACGAGGCAGCGTGGGACGGACGGGAGGCAGCGAGGGAAGGGGATCGGGATCTCCGGGACCCAGCTCTCCTCGCCCCGCGCTGGGGTGGGCAGGCTGCACAGATTGTGCCCACAATCAGCCTTTCATCCCGAAAGAGGGGATTAAAAGGGAGAAAATCCCCCGGAGAGAGACCGGCAACCCCCCCCGCGGCCGGCCCGGCAATACCCGGTCAGCGGGTCAGACACGGAGCGGTTCTGCTCCCTGCCCATCCCATCCCATCCCATCCCATCCCATCCCCTCGGGCCGCTCCTCCCCGAGCCCTCCCTCCCGCCGGGAATGGCCGCCTGCATCCCGCGCTGTGTCCCGGCATCCCACGGCAAATAAAGGAGCCGGTGACGAGCGTCGTCCCCCGGGGAAAGGCCGCAAAAAGGAACGTTTACACCAAAAATAGCAACGGCCCCGAGGCGAGCCAGGCCGGCAGGGAGGGTGAGCCGAGCACACGGGGCCTTGTTTGGATGCCTTAGGAAGGAAAAACAGGGATAAATCACTCCAGCACCCGCGTGTAGCCACCTCCCCCAGCCCGGGCTGTGCCAGATGCCGGCACTGCCACCTCACTCCGGGCCACCGGGCCAGTCTGGGGACCGTGAGCAGCTGTCCCCAGCTCCTGGCGGCGGTGTCACACCGTGGAGAGCAGCCTGCACCCCCATCCACGGCGTGCCAGTGTCCTACATCCCAGCAAAGTGCGGATAAAGAAGATCCAGATGATTTCCCTCAGCCCTGGCCACAGCCAGGAGCCTCCCAGGCCTGCCCCTGGCTCAGATCGGCTCTTGGACTAAGCAGGGACACCTCTAACCAGATTAGAAAGTGAAGGAGAGGTGCCTGATCTTCGGTCGGAGGAGGGATGAGGAGACACAGCCCTGGGAGCCCTCGGGAGCCCGCTGGGAAACCCGGCGGCCCAGGAAGCAGCTAATTGGGATTAAAACCAAAGCACCCTCAGCACAACGGGCTGGGCTCAGTCCCAAGGCCCAGGGGGAGGGGGAGCAGGGTGGAGACCTCAGAGCAGGGAGGGAGACCCAGAGGGATGCTGTGGATGGGGCTGGGATCTCCACTCAGCACCAGGAATGTCGGGGGGGTTGGGGTTGCACCAGTGGGGAAGGCACAGGGAAGAGCTGGAAGGCAGCCAGGAACCAACCCCGTGGAGATGGCTGGGAAAGCAAGGAGGGGTTTAAGAAGCTCCGGGGGAGAAGAGAAATGCAAAAGCCCCCCAGCCTAGGGCCACCTCTTGCCTCTCCCACCGCTGTGGGCAGCACAGCCAGGGAGGCACCACCACAAGAGGAATTCTCCTGGAATTTGTGGCAGGAGCATGGCTGCTGCTGCTCCAGCACACCCAGCCCGGGGACACACCGGCTCCAGCTGCAGGATTAATGGCATTTTAAAGCCCCTAATTGGAGTGATTGCTCCTGAGGGGCCCTGGCGTGGATGTGTGGGAAGGGTGTGCCAGGAATCCAGCGCTGCTGACTCGGCACAACGCAGGGATGGAGCCCCAGCCATGGCCTGTCCCAGCTGGGGGCTGGCACCCCCGTCACCCCTGTGCCCCAGGAGGGGTGCAGGATGATGAGAAAGCCCCAAACCAGAGCCCAGGGGATGAACACAACTCCAGGATGTGTAGCAGGGGATTACAGAGATTAAATCCCGCCGGGTAAACGCAGGGCTCCCACCATCACCCACCCCCAGCACTGAGCACGTCCTGCACCTCTTGGCTACAGCTCTGGGACTCTGAGGGACCATCCCTGGGGAACTGGTGTCCTCCCTTCTCAGCACGTGGTCAGGAGGAGTATTTCCACCCTCATGGAGCAAGCAGGAATCCAACACCTCAGGGGCCTGGTATTGTGGAAGCATGACCAGCTCCAACGATCCAACACAGCTGCCAGACCCCTCCATATCTTCCCAAAATCTGGAGACACTTTAAGGGGCTTACCCCATGGGTGTTTTCCCCTTGCCAAGTGCTGCTGAGGTTCCCGGGTTTGTGCTGTTCTTCACAAGTTAACCCTAAATATCTTTTTAAGTTAAAGGGAAGCATTTGGGGTGGTTGTTTGGTGCCAGGACCCTCCCCAGCTCCTGAGGGACCTCCGTGGAGCTCAGGGAGTCTTATGGGATCTGTCCAAAAAGGCCAGTTCTCAGCTCCCCAGGCAGCTCTGGATGGATGAACTGTGGGAGGTTTCCATGGCCATCGGGACCCTCAGCACAGCAGCCCTGTGGAATTTGGGAGCCTGTTCTCCCCCTGACACTGCTGGGCACAGGGACTCCTGCCAAACCCCCTCGACACCCCAGGGTAGGGAGGAGTCCCATCCCACCCGGGACCCCGCCCTGGGAACACACCTGGATACACCTGGATGTCACATCCCTGGGTGCCACCCACACCCAGGAGCTGGGTGGCCGGGCAGGAGGGAGCTGGCACCCCTGCCAGGGCTCGGGGGGGGCTGCTGAGAGCACCCAGACCCCACTCAGGGCTCAGTCGGTGGCCACACACTCCCTGGAAACCAGGGAGGGCGGCGGGATTGGAGCCGGGAGCTTCCAGGGTGATTAAGGCACGTTCAGCACTCCCACATGAATAAATAAATCATGTAAGAAGCATTAAGGCAGCTTAGGCTCCCCGGGAAATCGCCCTGGAGTTCTGCCTTTTGGGGGCTGAGGGATCCCCCACGGGCTGGGGGTGGGGATGGCTTTGGCTACGTGGCTCAGGAAAGGGGGAATGGGAGCCACAGGCAGGAGCATCTCTGGAGCATCCTCTGCCTGCCCCTGGATGAGCACATCCCTGCCTGCCCCTGGATGAGCACATCCCTGCCTGCCCCTGGATGAGCACATCCCTGCCTGCCCCTGGATGAGCACATCCCTGTCTGTCCCATGGACAAACACATCCCTGCCTGTCCCATGGACACACACATCCCTGCCTGTCCCATGGACACACACATCCCTGCCTGTCCCATGGACACACACATCCCTGCCTGTCCCATGGACACACACATCCCTGCCTGTCCCATGGATGAGCACATCCCTGCCTGTCCCATGGATGAGCACATCCCTGCCTGTCCCATGGACACACACATCCCTGCCTGTCCCATGGACACACACGTCCCTGCCTGTCCCATGGATGAGCACATCCCTGCCTGTCCCATGGACACACACATCCCTGCCTGTCCCATGGATGAGCACATCCCTGCCTGCTCCACGGACAGGCACATTCCCTGCCTGCCCCAAGCGTGGATCTGCCCCAGACACCCATTCCCTGCCCATCCCTTTGGATCCCGTGCCGACACAGCAGTCTCCAGCTGCCCCTCTTCCCTGAGAGGATGCCGAGTGCCACATCCCGAGCCTCCCTCCCTGCCAGCCTCCCGGGCAGTGCATCCTGTGAGCAGCTCCAACCCGGCTCTTCGTGGTTGCCAGCCCCGTGGGAGGCCACCGATAAGCCCGGGTGCCCAACCCTGCCCCCAAAAGAAGGTTTCTCCCAGCAATCCCGCTTGGATCCCATCCCAGCGGGGTCTGACACGTCGCAGGAAGCTCCCGGGCAAAAGGGCTCACAAAGGAGGAAGAGGATGGGGCAGAGCCAGGGGATGGCCCCACACGGTGCCCCGGGGAAGGGACCCGCCGTGCCCCCCTTACCTGGTACATGCTGGGGTTAATCCCATTGGGCGGGTGGGCGCCTTTGGCTTTGCTTCCCGAGTCCATGGCGAGCCCTCATGTCCCGCGGGGGCAGCCCCGGGGCCGGGGGGCACAGCGGGCACCGGGGACCCCCCGCCCGCGCGGGGACAGGCAGGGCGGCGGCGGGCAGCGGCAGCCGGGGGGAATTCCCCATGGGATGCCCCCCCGGTCACATCCCGGGGCGGGGGCAGCGGGACGTGGCCCCGATGGAGCGGGGGGCACCCGGCGGGGCCGCGGGTGCGGCGCTGCCGGCGGGTCCCTGTGCCCTGACCCAGTTTGCTCCGTGCACACCCCACCCGTGCCGAGGCTCCGAGGGCCCGCTCCCGGAGCGGGAGAGGAGGATAAATCCGCATCCCTTAATCCCGGGCGGCTGTGGCGGGGCGGGCAGTGGGAGCGTCAGGGTGACCTGGCGTGCTCCCTCTGGAATGCTGGCACAGGAGCAGGGAGCAGAGGGGACCGACCCCCGCCGGCACACGGGGGTGGTGCTGGATGCACCCAGCACTTGGGAATGTCGTGGTGCTGGCCCTGGATGCACCCAGCACTTGGGAATGTCGTGGTGCTGGCCCTGGATGCACCCAGCACTTGGGAATGTCGCAGCACATCGCTGAGGACAGGGAGGAGCTCGTCCCCAGGAGCCTCTGGGAAGCACCGTTGGGATTTTTGCAGAGCCAGGACCAGCCCAGCTCCATGCTTGGAGATGTGCTGGCCCAGCTGCTTTCCCCCATCCAGGGAGGAGCAGGGATGCAGAGAGCTGGGCAGCCACCAGCTCCAGCTCTGTCCTGCTTGTGCCACCAGCTTTGATCCATGAGGAATTTCCCATCTCCTCGGGTGCCCCAAACTCCAGTGCCCAGGCAAGGCGGATCCCAGCTCTCAGCACTGGCACAGTCAGGATGGATATAAACATTGGAAGGCTCCTGCCTCCCCTGGCTGTTGGGCTCCTCGCCACATCACACCCACAGTGGAGCAGTGCAAAAGCCCCCCCAAAATCCCTGTTCCCCCAAATCTGGGCCCTGGGACACTGTGCCCTGTCCCACAGGGCCCCACAGGGACAGTGGGCAGCTCAGATCCCCCCTGCACAGCTCTGTGATGCTGATCCACCTCACCCTCTCCTGACCTGAGCATTTTCGTGGAGGCTGAGCCCAAGTCCAGGTCTCTGGAGCACCTGGAGGGGGTCCTGCAGGTGAGGAACCAGGAGCAGAGCAACCCCAGACAGCTCAGGAGAGCCAAGGTGAGCCCTGACTCCTCACACCCTGGGTTGTTGCTGAGCATTCCCCATGCCCTGGGTTGTTGCTGAGCATTCCCCATGCCCTGGGTTGTTGCTGAGCATTCCCTGTGCCCTGGGTTGTTGCTGAGCATTCCCTGTGCCCTGGGTTGTTGCTGAGCATTCCCTGTGCCCTGGGTTGTTGCTGAGCATTCCCCGTGCCCTGGGTTGTTGCTGAGCACAGCCCCTGGCAGTCTGGCTGCCCCTCTGCTCCCTGGGCTCCCTGCAGTGTCCCATCCCCACCCTGCTCCCAGCTCTGCCTCCAGGGTCCCCTCTCAGGACCTCGAGGCAAAGGAGTCCCAGTGGGTGATGGGGCTGAAGGGAAGGGGCCTTCCTGGCGTGGGAGAGGCCGAGGTGGGGCTGCCCTCCAGCAGTGGGGAAGGTGAGGGGTTAATGTCCCCACCTGGGGACTCTCAGTGCCCCCTCAGGACCTCCTGCCATCCCAGGGAGTTGGCTGGAGGCAGCAGGTTGGATCCATTCCCCAGAATGTGCCGCCTGCTCCCCAGGAGCTGCTTCCCAAGGGACTGTCCCCTGGGGCGAGCGCAGGCTCTGGGGCTGCAGAGGACACCCTGGGCTGTCTCAGGAAGGTTTTGTCCCTTCTCCAAGACCATTCCCCGTGCACGGGGGGGACTGAACTCCCACACCTCCCCACTTGGACTCACAGCGAGGGCTCCAAAGGGAAGGAGGTGTCTGAGCTGGCTGCGGCTCGGGAGAACCTCCAGGTTTTCCCACCGACACGAGGGGCAACAAATCCGCTCAGAGCAGCTCCAGGCGCCCAAAGGCACAAGCTAAACCCCGCATCCCGCAGCCCGAGGCCTCAGCGGAGGCTCCTGCCCGTCCCGGGGCCGGCTCCTTACCTGCGGGAGGGCGGAGTTGAGCTGCCTCTGGAGCTGGTCCCGCTCCCGGAGCGTCTCCTGCAGGCGGCTCTGGGTCACCGACAGCGTCTCGCGCGTCTCCCGCAGCGTGTCCAGCAGCTTGTCCCTCTCGTCCAGCATGTTCACCATCAGCTGCTCGAAGTCGGCGTCGGCCTCCGAGCCCTGGGGGGGCCCCAGGGGGTCCCCCTCGCTGATGGTGGGCATCACCTCGCACATCATGGCGGGGGGGCCGGTGGTGCCTGAGGGTGGGCGCTGGGGGCCGGGGGGTTCGGGGCCCTGCTCACATCACCACGGGCCCCCACGGGCCGGGGGAGCCGGGGCAGGAGGGGGCAGCGGGGTGCTGGAGGTGGGGGGATCCCCCATCCCTTCGCCCGGGGGCTAGGCGGGGGTTGGCATCGCCCCGGCCGGGATGGGGGGGGGGCCTCGGCACCAGCGAGGTCCTCGGGGTCTCAGATCCCCCCGCTCGTCACTGCCACAGTCCTGGGGCACCTCTGGGCTGCCTCCTGAAGGGGCTGCAGCATCAGGGGCTGCTCAGAGCGGGGCAAAGTGACCCTTGAGGACTCGTCCCAGCGGGGAGCCCGAGCCAGCAGCAGCACAGGGAAGGTCCGAGGGGTTTGGGGGCTGCCCAAGCATGTCTGGGGCCGATGGGCTGCTCTCCCTAAGGCCGGGCCAGGTGTCACTGCCCTCGTGGAAACGTGTCTCTGCTGGGCATTGCAGCTCCTCAAACACCTACAGGAGAAGGGACAGAGATCAGACCCCTCCTGCTGCCCTCAAAATGCCCGGGGGGCACCTGCCCAGCCCCCTTTGCCCTCCCATCAGACTCTCGAGGCTCAGGACCCGCAGGAATGGGGCTGTGCTGGGTTGTACTGCCCTGTACCCACCACACTGCACCCAGGATGGCACCGAGCTGCAGGGAACAGCACCCCCAGCACCAAAATTCCTGTAACCACCTCTGGCATCCACATATCCTGGGCCAGGACCCTTTTCCCTCCCTGGAGCCCCCGGGCTGCCCAGGGACCCCATGGCCCGAGTGTTCTCCAGCCCCAGGGAATTCACATTCACAGAAAATCAGGCTTAAACCTGAGTCTGGCCCAAACCTGGCAAGGAAACACGGCTACAGATGAGTTGAATGATTGGATTAATGTTCCCCCCCTCCGTGTCCCCCTCCCTTGGCAGCAGCAGGACAGATGTGCTGGGCCCAGCTGCTCAGGAACAACTGAACTCCAGCACAGCCTCCCTGGTCAAACCCTTCCCAGGGCACGGAGGTATCCCCAGATTCCTGCCCAGCACCATTCCCTGGCCAGTGCCAGGGAGGAGAGGTCGGAGGGAAGCGGCAGAGCCACCAACCTGGGCCTGTGCTCAGGATTAAAGCACGGCTGGGCCTGTGGGCTCAGCACTTCTGCAGACCAAAACCGTCACAGACAAGGTGCCAGGCAGGGATTTCTCCTGACACGGAGGCTTCAGCCCCCAGAAGTGAAGGTTCATGTGCCACTGCCACCCCCAGCCCCCCTGGGGACCTGCCCACCCCTCATCACCATCTGTGCCAGGGGACAAACCACGGGCAGGGCAGCAAAACACGACGTGGCAAGTGCAGAGTGAGGGTTGTTGCGGGTGAGGGTTGTTGCAGGTGAGGGTTGTTGCAGGGTGAGGGTTGATGCAGGGTGAGGGTTGTTGCAGGTGAGGGTTGTTGCAGGGTGAGGGTTGATGCAGGGTGAGGGTTGTTGCAGGTGAGGGTTGTTGCAGGTGAGGGCTGTTGCAGGTGAGGGCTGTTGCAGGTGAGGGTTGTTCCAGGGTGAGGGTTGATGCAGGGTGAGGGTTGTTGCAGGTGAGGGCTGTTGCAGGTGAGGGTTGTTGCTGTTGCAGGTGAGGGCTGTTGCAGGGTGAGGGTTGCTGAGGGTTGATGCAGGTGAGGATTGTTGCAGGTGCTGCTTTTGTGGAGGGTGAGGGTTGCTGGTCTAATGCTGCTTTTGTGGAAGTGCCCCCTGAAGTTCTCAAAACTTTACAGCAGATGTAACACTCAAGGACAGGGATGAATGTTCTGAGGCTGTGGATGCACCTGAGGCTGTGGCTGCCCCATCCCTGGAAGTGCCCCAGGCCAGGCTGGAGCAACCTGGGCTAGTGGGAGGTGGCCCTGCCCGTGGCAGGGATGGGGTGGGATGAGCTTTGAGGTCCCTTCCTCCCCAAGGCATTCTAGGATTTGATGGTTCTGTGAACATCCCTATTTCACTTCCCTTTCAAACCAACACACACACATGGACATAAAGGCCCTGCACACAGCCCTGGGCTGGGTCAGCCTGTCCTGGCCTTTGGACTGGGATCAAAGCTCGTGTGTCCAACAGCTCCTGGCACAGCAGGGCACTGCCCCCCATCAAAGGTGCCTTTGTGCCCACCCAGGCCAAGAGAACTGGAGCTCTGCTCCTGGGCTGACATTGGCTCATCAGCAGATGGAGTTTGACACAAAAAAACCCTCTAAAAATAGAGGAGCTCTGGCAGAAGCAGCAGCCCCTTGGTGTGCACCCAGCGTGCTGCCCTGACAGCTCTGGGACACCAGGGAGGAGGGACAGGGCTGTCCTCCTCTCCCTTTATAGACTTGATCCCAGAGTGGGATAAAACTGTTCTGGAGCTCTGAGGGTTGTTCCTGCTCCTTCCTGGCTGCTGGGACATGGATGACCAGGAGAACTGAGCACCAAGGGTATCCCACCCCTGCAGCATCCCACAAAAACAGGGGCTGGCAGAGGAAAAGGACAGAGAGAGGGACCATTCCAGCCCCTGCTCTCCTTGGGTTGGGTTGGACATGAGCCTCAGCCCTGGAATTAAGCAGGTAAAATGCTCCCCAGCTCTCCTGGCCCAGATTAGCAGGGATAACCCCCCCTCACACACGTGGCCACAGCAGCAGCTCTCCTGGAGGGCAGATGTCCTGGGTTCCAGGGAGACCTGGGGCCGAGCAAAGCAGGAATCAGCCTCTCCCCAGGGCTCAGCCCTCTTAGTTTGGGGGTAAAACCCAAATGGGGTGACTTTTCTGCCCCATTTCACAGCTGTGCCTCTGCCTGTGGGGTGAGTGTGGAGGAAGAACATCCAGGCTGGGGAGAGCAGACAGTGCCCAGGCACAGCATGAACGGCCAAACCAGCCAGGAACTGAGAGAATCAGCAGGTGAATTAAGAGACATTAATCAAGGCAGGAAGGAAGAGCCCTGCAAGCACTCAGGGAGGGGGAAATGCTGCGGGGAATGACCAAGCCACAAATCTGACCAGAGCAACGATGGGATGGAAATGAATCCCAGCTGCAAGGGAGAGACTCCCTCCTTCCAAGGACACCCTGCAGGTGCCAGTCCCAGGGGGCTGTGGTGGCTCCCCCACGTCCCACGGGGGTGATCCAAGGGGCTGGACCCACGTGGTGCAGGAGGAGGGACAGGTTTACATCCAAGGCCAGTTTTGTTTTTGCTCCCCCCACGGTGGAGCTCGGGCACTTTGGGGGTGGCTTTGGGGGTTTTTTATCCCGTGTTTCACACAGGGATGCCCCGTTATCCCTGCTGTGCTTGGGGAGGGAGACACCTCAGCCTGGAGAGGGTGAGCACAGGATCATGGGGACCTGATCCAGGATGGACTCATCCCACCCCCTGGCTCCCCAAAAGCCTCTGTGCTCTGTCCTCCTGAGGATGCTCAGCACAGGTGAGAAATGGCACAAAACTGCCCAATTAGTGTCTGTGGCAAAATTAGCGACCCAAAGCTCCTCCATGCCCAGGGTTTTTGGGGTGCCTTCCCTGGAGGGGGTCACATTCCCCCCCTGACATTGTGGATTTGGAAGTGATTATTCCTGGATTCAACCACTGCAGCTTTCACTGCAAAAACCACAAATCCCAGGAGAAGCTCAGACACCAGGAAGGTTCATCCCCAGAGTCAGGGCAGCTGCAAAGGTTTTATTCTTCAATTCTTTGCAGCTCTTCCTTTTTCACCGAATGAGGCTTAAAAATTCCAGGAGATATTCCATTTATTCCTTAATGTGTTCTGGCTTTTTTGTTAGTTAGGTTTTATACAAATCAGGAGTTTAAATTCTGGCATTCTTAAGTGAAAGGGTGAGAGGAAAATGATTTTAAGATGAACTGGGAGAGGTTCAGATTAGATATTAGAGAAAAAAAAAATGTTCCCTGAAAGAGTGGTCAGGCACTGGAGTGAGTTCCCAGGGAGGTGGTGGAGTCACCACCAGTCCATTCCGAGTCTCTGGAGGTGCTCCAGAGGCATCTGGATGTGCCCTGGGGATGTAGTTTAAGGGGGATTATGGTGGTGCTGGGTTGATGGTTGGAGGTCTCCTCCAGGCCTGATGAGTCTGGGATTCTGGGATTCTGGGATTTGTGGTGGAAGCCAAGCCCAGGCTGGGGCTGATCCCTGCTGCCTTCCAGCCTTTGGGAGTGAGAATTGTGTTCAGTGATGTGCACACAGGGGCACAGACACAGCAACATCCACGCACAGGGAGCTCCTGCCCGGGGTCCCTGCCCTCCAAATGAGCATCCCCTGCTCTCTGCACCCCCCAAACCTCGGGATTTTCCCCTTTCTCCAAAAGCAGCAGCGAATCCCCCATTCCCAGGCGCCTCCTCCCACGGGTGGGTGACACCAGATGCTGTCCCTGCAGAGCTCAGCAGTGCTCAGGCAGAGCTGCAGGTCCAACCAGTCCCTTTTGAGGACCCTGGGGGACGTCAGGGTGGGTGACAGCCCAAACACACCCCGGCAGGGCAGAGCTGGAGCAGCCCAGGGCGTCAGAGGGCTCTGAGCTCATCACCACCACCAGCAAAACCTCTCAGCTGCCTCCGGTAAAACCACCTAAAAATGCTGCTGCCTGGGCTTAGAGGGCCTTAAGTGATGGGATAATCACGGGGTAGAGGCGTGAGGATGCGAGGAGACAGCTGGTGAGCTGAGAAAACAGACACAGCCCGAGCCCTTGGCTGGGTATTTTTAGCCCCGCGGGGCTGCCAGGCACAGACTTGCTGAGAGCGGGTTTCTTGCCAGGGAAAACGTGCTCGTTCACCAGCCCTGCCCCCTCCGCCCCGAAAATGATGCTTTTCCCCACTTTTTGGGCTGGAAGGCAGCGGTCACACGTGGAGAGGCTGGTTCCCAACACAGGGGATGGAGAGCACAGGGGAGGGGGTTTGCCCTCGAGCCAATGGTTTGCTTGGAGGGTTTTTTGCCCTCGAGCTGGTGGTTTGCTGGGCACAGACCTGCCAGGAGTCACAGGGGAGGGTTTTCTGCCCTCGAGCTGCTGGTTTGCTGGGCACAGACCTGCCAGAATCAGGCTGCCCGTGGGATGCTGGGTGCCAGGGAGCACCCTGGCTTTCCCTTCCCAACGAGGGCGAGAAGCACACCCAGCATTCACCCACCCCCCAGGGAGGACAGAGCCAGTGTTTTCCCTCTGAACAGCTTCACCCTCAGCTCAGCCCCGACAGGAGAAAGACAAAACCTCTCGTGGCTCTGTCAGCAGGATTATCACCCCAGCAGGCAGCTGGCAAAGAGGGTTTCAGGCACACCTTGGAGGCAGAGGGATTGATCAGCCCCCAAAAAGTCACTTTGATCTTTTCCACTCCTGGAAAATCCTCATCAGCTGCCCAACCAGCTCCTGGAAGAGCAGCACAGTCAGGGGGGCAGAGCCCACGCCAGCATCCCTTGCTTCCACATTCCCCTGCACCCAACCAGCCCCAGATGGGGTTCAGCACCCACAGACCCCTTCCAAGCACCCACAG